GCCAGCCTGTCTCAGGAAAAAAAGTTCCTACCTTAGGATGATTCAGAGAAAACAGTTGATAGTCCCAATGTAAACTTGTTTATGTTTAAACTTTGCTTAAGAGATTTGGGTATCTACTGGAGGACAGTTTAAGAAGATCACTCAAAATGGAGTGAGTTGGAGAGAAGCAAATCTGAAGGCGGGTGGGTATTGGGGCAATGAGGGTGACTGATGCTGGGTGCAGGTTTCTTCTTGAAATAGTGGAAATGTCCTGGCATTGGTGGTGATTGCATAACTGTGTCCCTATACAAGAACCCCCTCAACTGAACAGTTTAAAGTAGTGAATTTTATGTTATGTGTGTATATTTCAACTTAAAACATTTAAAAGGAGCTTTTGCAGTAATGTTAATTGAGAGGAAATGCTAGCCTGTATTAAGTAAGGTAGTGGAAATTGAGGCAGAAATGTGTCACTCGGGCAAAATAAGGTATCTGGATAGTGAAGTGAGGTTTCTGATGACAAGTCAAAACTAAAATTAGAGACGAAGGATCTGAGCATGTAAACCGTAATTGAAATCCCAGAAGTAGATTAGATTACATTAGATTAGACTAGACTAGAGCTAGAAAAGCACTGTGTAGAGAGAACAGGTGATCCTTAGATCCAGGCCTGAGGAGCACTGAGGGAGAAGGAGAAGAAAGAAGCCTACAAAGAAGATTTAGAGGGAAGCTGCTTTATCTCCTTTCCTAATCACAGTAATGTCAAATAACTGATGATCAAAAATATTAACAGAGTGAACTGGATGAAAGCAGGCTAAAAGTTTGTTTCATCTTATCTCAGTTTTCTTGCAGTACCTTCTTCACACCATCAGCACTGTGTAACAACTGCTGGAGGCATTTTTCTTGTATTGTCTAATTCAGTCTTTTCAATATTTCTGCAAGAAACAATTGTGACAGAGTAGGCCATTTACCCACACATGGCTAGATGAGCTCGTACACATCTGAGCCTAAAATTTATGTATTTTTTTTCTGCTACGCATGTTTCCCAAAGTCCGTTCTAAGAAGATTCAAATAACACACACACACGAACCATTGTTGGTGATAATATTAGGATTGTTAAGAGACTTTTATTAATAGGATGCTTGCCAGCAAAGGAAATTGAATTATCTGTGAGGAAGGGGACAGAACATACTACGTACTGAGCAGAAAACAGCCTGTCAGGCAGGTCCATCCTGTGCCCCCGTCCCTTTATTTGAGTCCTGAGGAATTGTTTGGGGCCGCATATGAAGTGCAGTTAATGTGTAAAGTAACAAAACTAACCTTTAAAAAGTACTTTATTACAATATTTTTAAAAGGCAGACCGCAGGTTTGACATGTACAGTGTGATGTCTGCTGTTTTTCTAATCAGCCTACTTCAGTTTTGATTTCCTCATCACCCTTGCAGTGTGCTTGTTGCTATTTCCCAGCTTTGACATTTCATTTCTTATAGTTGTGCTTCACAGTTTTCCTAAAATGCCTCATTGGTTTTTCTGGTGTCAAGTTCCCTGTCTTTGGCTTGTCTTGCAACCATTTCACTATTTAGGTGCCATTCTTCATCATTCAGTCATGAGTTGAATTAAAGAGCGTGGCGTTATCTTAGAAGTTACTGGGTCTTTGGCATCACTGCCGGTTACATTGTCTTTAATAATGCATTTAGGTGATGTGAGAATGCTCATCTGAAGGATGAAGTTAGTATTAGCAGAAATCTTTCCATATGTGAAAAAATTGTCAGTGTGAAGCTTAGTATCTTACTTACTCAGTACCTAGTTAAATTCAGTGGTAATTTTTTTCTTGGTTCCTTCTCTTAATTGATATCAGTTGTTATAATTCACCCTTGCTCAAAAAATTCCATGTGCTTCCGTCTACCTACAGAATGCTGTCCAGATTTTTTACAATGGAATTTAATTTCCGTGCTAGGCTTACCTTGCCCATTAGGTTCTTTCCCCCTTCACAGTCGCTCTGTCATTATACCCTTGTTTTCTTCTGCTTCTTTTTCATTACTTTTACTACCTCTACACTGTTACTTCTCCACCTTTGTACTCCTGAGGGCCCTTGGGGTGCTGCAGCCAACCTCAGGGAGTCCACGAGATATGTAAATTTTCAGGTGAGACACAGTGACATCTACCAGCACAGCATGAACCTCTCGCTCTAGATATCTTCGTTTTATTTTTTTTATCTTCCTTTTAATATTATATTGCTACATTGCTTTCCGTGGCATCATATGTAATTTGCAGAAGTGGGGCTTTGGCAGTTTCTTTATGAAAACTAATGTTGGGACCAGAAATGAGAGTGGTAATCACTCTGATTCCAGGTTTGGGATTTTTTGTGTGCTGGATAAACACTAAATTGCTAGTCAGTAAATACTGTACTTCAGGTAGGAACTAACTACTTAACAAATGGAACTTCTTTCACCTTCGGGGCACCTTAATAAAATTCTTAAAGCAGGAAAGGAAACATGCTATGGTGTGTGCCTCTGCCTTATGTTATTCTTAACCATTTTTGATAAACCATACTTGCCTTCAGAGACCAGCTTATAATGTCATTTATCTCTGGAAGCCTTTTTTGATCCCCTCATGGACAGTTAATCTCCCTTCTCAGTGTTTTCTGGTAATAGTCTATGTGTATAATTTCTCTTAAGTTGAATTAAGCTAATTCATTTATTTGAGGTAACCAGTTAGGTCTCTGGTTTTCCTATCTCCAGTTAAGTGTAGTTATGTAGAGTTCTTTTGTTCCCTGTAGAAAAGTGATCCAAACATAATAGCTGGTTCCATATACTAAGCTGAATGACATGTTATGTCTTGTTAGTCCAGTTCTCGTGCTAAATTACTGTCAATTAAAAATAAAAAATATTTTAGAAAACAAAAATTTTAAAAGTAGTGGGTTTTCTAATCCATGTACATAGTATAGCTCTCTACTTACATAGACCTTTTCCTTTCAGATGTATTTTAAACTGTTCTACGTATAGTTCTTGCATGTATTTGCTTAAATTTTTCCTTATATGGTTTTTCTTTTTTTTTGAACCGGGAATTGAACTTATGACCCCACGCTTGCCAGGCGGGCACCATGCTACTGAGCAACATCCCTGGCCCCCTTACATAGTTTTTGATGCTGTTTTAAATGCTGTTTTAAAAAATTTTCATTTTCAACTGTTCCTTGGTCATTTACCTTGGATTTTTATGATTGCTGTGGAATCCTGAGTTCTTGACTCACTTTATAATTCTAGAGCATTTAAGTAAATTCCTTGATATTTCATATATTCCTTAAGTGGGCTGTATCCTACTAAACTCTCAAAAATAAATCTAAAGATCTCAGCTCATTCCTGTCTGAAATTCTTTTTCAGAATTTCTAGTTTCCTGACCTTGGTACTCGCCTCTGTCCCCTCATCTCAGTGAGAATGCCACCCTCCACTAGGCTGCTTCTTCGCTCCCTCACGGCCTGGAAATTTTCTCCTGCTGGAGCCTGCAGTGTCAGGACTCACCTCGTTCCCTTTCAGTCAGAGATCACAGTCCTGCTCTGCCTGTTAGCCGAAGTCTGACAATTCTCTAGTTATTTCATTTTTGTTTTCCTATTGTTCACAGTACAGAGGTAGTTCTGGACCCTGATTCACCTCATAGCCAGAGCAGAAGTTAGAGAGGCTTTAAAGGATGTACTATACAGATGTAAACAAAAGGAAGCTGGGTAGTTTATTTTAGCTAAAAGGCACATAATCCAGGTTATGAAGAGGTTGAATCACTTTCCTGGGTACTCTGAAAATGTAGTGATGTGACATTGTATTAGGATCATCATCATATTCATCTTTTTATCACCTAGTAGACATGCTTTAAATGTTTATTGATTGAATGTCAAAACGGTAAGAACTCAATTTGTTAAATGTGACACTTGCAGTACGGGGAGCAAACCCAGGACCTTCACAGTGAGCCACGTCCCTAGCTTCTTTTCTTTCCTTCTCTTCTCTGCTCTGCTCTGCTGTGCTGTCCCAGTCTGTCTGTCTGTCTCTCTCTCTTTTAAGGTTTCCATAAATTACTAAATTGCCCAGAGTGGGCGGGGGCAGGAACTTAAATCCTTTTGCCTCACCCTCTCAGAGAGATGGGAGATTGTTTATGTGCCCCCATGCACAACTGACTTATTTTTTTGGAAATAGAGGAGTACTAATTTAAAAACCTTAATGTTAAAGGAATGAACATTTCTATTTGTCTCTAAAAGAAACTGTTGATTTTTTAATTGACTGACTTTCGAGTGAATATCACTGATGAAAAGTAAAATTCTCACGCATCAGTGTCCTGATAGAAAACAAGCAGAATGTCAACCAGTTTCCTCTGCTGAAATATTTAATAGTGAAGATATAATAAAACCTCCAGAATATTTCTCTTATGTATCCACTTTTGTGATCATTGTATGATTGATTTTGTATGTGTATTCACTGATTTATAATGGAGGTGTTTCCTTTCATTTATTTCCTGACGACAGCTAATACGTTGTTTACTGTGTATTGGGTACTATGCTCAACAGTGACTGTATATTATATTATTTCAATTAGCCTTCAATCTTATGAAGATTTTATAATTATATCCCCATTTTACAGAAGTGGGATAGTCTTACTCATACAACTAATAAGTGCCAGAGGGAAGACTGAAACCAGATAGTCTTCAAAGTAGATCCTGGGAATTTTATTACAATACTGTACTGCTTATACTGGCATTTGCTGTTATTTTCCTATACCAAACAGTATTGACTTAAGGTCTATATGCTTTACACGTCTGAGTCTTTAATCATTGTACTCTATTTCTCCCCGCAGTGTAGCAAAATCAGATTTGGCATGGTTGGTTTTGTCCAGTCTTTTACGATAAGCGGTAGTATAGCATTGAAATTCCGTTCATATCAGCCCGTTTCTCATGAAGCATCTCTCATGCCACTGTCCAGGTCAGCAGGCTGAGCTAGCTATGTGTACCATCTTTCTGACCCGACATGTTATTTGCTCCTGTTCGCAGTGGATGATCCAGCAGCCACACAAAGCAGCAACCTTTTTCGGGTGCATCGGGATAGATAAGTTTGGGGAGATCCTGAAAAGAAAAGCTGCCGAAGCCCACGTGGATGCTCATTACTACGAGCAGAGCGAGCAGCCCACGGGGACTTGTGCCGCGTGCATCACTGGCGACAACAGGTAGGTCGGTGTGGCCCGGAGCGGAGCGCTGGCCTCGCCGGCTCTGTGAACACTCGTGACGTCAGAGTTCCGCTCGGAATTAGAAATTCTAGACTTCCGTGTTTATAATCACCGTTACTGTTCAACAAGCTCTTCTTTCTGTCTTTTCCTTTTGTTTTTCAACTTACTTTTGTTAAAGTTGCTGTTGAATTCATGGGGGATAGTGGAATGAAAGTTTTAGATTATAGTCGATAGTCTCTGTCTGTTGTCTGTATTAGGCTCAGGAAAAGAAAGCACTTTGCTCAGTGTCTTACTGTATAGCTGATTGTTTTCTAAAATTGCGTTAGAAACATTGGTCTTTTCACCATAACCTGAGATTGGAATAGTAAAACCCATGCATACATGTGTGTGTGTGTGTGCATTTTACATACATAAAACGTGAAATTCATGAAATTTATGAATTCATGAAATTTCATGAATTCAGTAAGGTAAGTTTTACAATTTGGGTCATCTAAACAGTTCTGCCAAATAGTCATCCTTCCATATTAAACAGCTTCAGTCATGGATAATGCACCACTCAGGAAACAGCTTAGTATATTTTTATACAACTTTACTTAGTAGGACATTCTTCTTCTTGTGAACTTATATCTCTCAGGACCTTTCATGTATTGGTGTTTATTCTTTTGATCTTTTGTAGCTACATGCAGGTATTCCCTCAGTATATACATGTACTGCTAATATTATTACCATATAAGCGGAAGCTTTTTTCTCCTTTGCAAGGGATAAACAAAATAACTTTCCTAGGTAGGTTATCTGTTAAAATCATCAGAGAGGATCTCTTTAGATAGTGATGCACTGGAAATTTTTGATTCCTTGTAGTTGGGAATGCTTTGTCTTCTCTATTCCCTGTCTCCTTGTCGTTCTTTTCTTTCTTCCATTTTTTTTAATCCAGACCCTTTCCTTGCTCCCTTTATTTTGACCTCCATCAGATAGATAGATAGATAGATAGATAGATAGATAGATAGATAATCTGACACTATTTAGGTACTGATATGGACATTAGGCATTAAATCACTATAACTTTTAAAGATAATTAGGGCTGCAAAGCCATTTTCATACCTTTCTTTAACTCCTCTTTTATGTGTAAAAGAATATACATGATTTTAAGATTTCAGTAAATTAAGCCATTCATTATTCAAATACTGAAATATGTTTATTTAGACTTTTGCCCTTTTCAGTTTTCCTAAAAAAATACCTTTAATGTGCAGGTGCAGAGTTTTCCCATTAATGAGAAATGGGTTAAGTTTTGCCTCTGATGACCACTGAGGGTAGAGTAAAATCACAGAATTTTGGTGTACTGAATTACTGTTTTAAAGAAGAGTTATGGTAAGGTTAGGTCTCCCAGATATCCGAAGCTTAAATTGTGTCCTTATATTATGATCATGTCTCTCAGTATCGTTCAGATGATGCAAGAAGTTGAAGCTAAGGAGAAACCTCACACTATCTAACTAATCCAAGTCCTAGAACATAACAGAATTCATAACTTGTTTTAGATATGCTGGTAACTTTATCCTATTATCCCAAACTGAGAATTCACACAGTAGTTTCATTATCAAAACAAAGTTTTGCAGCTGACACCAGACATGTTTGCTTTATAAAATAGCCATTTTTTTCAGAGTTTTCCTCCACAGGTCATCGTTACAAAAGATATTTTTGTAAATTAGGACCGAACTCAATATCCACCACCAAAAAGGACTAACATTTCATTTTTTGTCATTTAATTGAATATAAACAGACCTATTGTTGAATAGTAAATTGGCACATGGATGATTCGAAATATATTTTTGAGGAGAATTGGTTTTTCTTTTAAATAGAAAAACTAAACATTAAACAAGTCTCTAATGATAGGTGGCTTTGTCAATTCCAGGTCACAATAAAGAAAAAAACAATTTATATTTATTTATATGAAATATACATCATCTTCTCACTTTATTAAGTTTAATTATTGGACTGTAATTGAACTACCTAGGTGACACTTGTAGCAAGATTTTAAATGCAGACACAGGTCAGGCAGTTTTCAGCTATAGAAAGTAATTCTAATTGATTCCAGCCCTTTACATGTAAAGCTTTTCAAATTAATTCCTCATAGTTAGTATGATACACATTTATATGTTTTATACGATTAGTCCTATACTTGGCTTTTAAAGTATTAGATTAAATAGTCAATTATAGTATGATAATCTTATTTTTACAAAGATATTTTTCCACTGTTAAAAAAAAAATAAAGTGTTTTATTATATAGATTTCCCTTTGGAGAAGACTTAGTAGCTTTATATCTTGACTGTACTTTGAATGATTAAAATGTTACAAGTAGGTCTCATTTTAGTATCAAAAGCAACTTCACAGTACTAGGTGATGTTTAGAAGCATTTAGAAGTACTAGATGATTGTAGCGCTTTTTATCTCAGACAACATGGAGGTCTCGGAAAGTTCTCAAAGTCAGTATTATTTGCATTCATTTAAAGGCTCTGACAAGACTTAAAAAATAAAATCTCTGACAATTTTGAGGAATTTTAAAATGTTAGAAACCCATAAAATTTCAGAAAAATATCAGCGGGTAACCCCATAAAAGTACTAACAGCTTTGGCTTAATATAAATAAAGTCTAATTGGTTTTTCTTTGGGTGTTTTAGGTCTCTTGTTGCTAATCTTGCTGCTGCTAATTGTTATAAAAAGGAAAAGCACCTTGATCTGGAGAAAAACTGGATGTTGGTAGAAAAAGCAAGAGTTTGTTATATAGCTGTAAGTATTTACCTAATTCACATTTTAGGACCATGTTAACATTGTAGAATGCAATTTTGGCTGATACATATTTTTAACTAATTGTCTTTCACTAACCCTGCAAATTATTTACCCATCTCAAAGCATATTAAATTCCCTGTTGTAAATACAGAACAAAAATGTGATGTTTATCTGTGGGTAACACAATTTATGTTACTTACCTTTATCTCTTTTTGGATACATTATACATAGATATTTCTTAACCAAGCACAGATTTCTTTGTTTTAGTTATATCAGTTTCCTGAGATCTTTTGAAATAACTCTACAGTCTTACATTTTACAGTTTTAGGCAACTTGTTATGAATGATGCATGCATTGTATGAAAAATATTAGTAATATAAATATTCACTGCAAACAGTTTGAGCTCATTTGCCTAAAAATCTTAATTGATATTTATTCCATAGTAATTACCATGACACCTTTTAATTTAATATTTCAGAAACATTGATCATGACAAATCTCTTAAATCCTAGAATAAGGGCAGCATGTAATTTGAATTATTAAGTCTTCTGACATAAAAATAATTGGTTAAGAATTCATTTTTGAAATATAATTGTACTAAAAATCCTGCTGAATTAATCACCCTATGATTACCTTGTTTTTATTTAATATGAGTTAAATGTGGCTGCTCACAAATAAGTAGATACCTATGAAAAATTAAAAGCATCTCATATGCATATAATATATGGTTTTGGTATAGCAGCTGCTGCCGTTCTGCTACCTGAGCGATGTATAACAGCTGGTAAGACATGTAGAAAATTGATTATCCAACAGGAACATGTTTATTGAAAATACTTCTTTCAGCCTAGTATTAATGTCTCCAATAGCAGTTTATGTGCACTGCTGTAGGCTGTGCAGCAGCATTGCTATCGATTCCTCTGTATAGCAGATCCTACCCCTTTGTAACTGTCAGATAAATGCTTACATTGAAAAGATGGCAGAATATAAAGTCATGCTATCTCTTCTGCCAGTATGTGAGAAAAACATTTCAAGAAGTAGAAGCTTTTCCCCTCTCTATTATTTCCATTTTATGTCATTTCTTAAAATGATCTAATTTTTCTTTCAAATCCTCATGGTATGTTCTCTAGTATGGTTCTTTAAGGGGAATTTATGTAGTATTTCAAACCATCTTAAGTTTCAGAATCTGATTTTCAGAAAGCACATGTCGTAAAGTTTGATGTGGTATTTGTGTATTAGTTATTTAAATTGACTGAAAATAACAATGTGTTCTGATGAAAAAGTATACTAGTTGCAATATATAGTAGCTGAATCCTGAATTATGACCCACCTTGCACAAAACCCCGTAACTGTACTGATTATACAATGTAATACATCTAGCCAACTTTGGGGGATGGAATTTTTATGGGAACAATAGACACAACTTGCAGACAACTTACAGTTTTAACAATTATGTACCTAAATGCAGGTGAACAGAACTTTTATGATAGTATTGTTTATTTATACAAAAGGACAGTTTTGTCTAAAGCATAAAATACTCAATTTTGGTCAAATTCATAAAAAAAATCGGAGTGTTTTTAGATTTGTGTGGTATATTCAGCCAAAAGAAATAACAAAGTGGATTCCAGTTTATGTCTATGATAGCATCTAGTAGCTCTTTATTTCTGTGTCAGCACTTTTACAAAAGGAGTCCTCTTCCACAGTGTCAAGTAAATCTGTACTCTGCTCTGAGCTTGAAATGTACTGTGTCTGCTATTATTACCAACCTGGTTTTCCTTTGAGTGTTAATATCATGATATATCTTTTTCTTCCCTTTCACTCTTAACCTACTTATGTCTTCATTTTTAAGTGTATTTCTTATGAGCAGTGTATAGTTGGGTCTTGTTTTTATGTCCAGCATGCCCATGTCTACCATTTATATTATATTTATAATATACAACAATTAGGGAATATTTATATTCCCATTAAATATGATTATCATTGTGGCTATGTTCGGGGTATTTGACTAGGTCTTGGTGTTTGTTTTCTATTTATTCCATCTGTTCCTCATCATCTTTTTTTGTATTTTTCCCTCAACACCCGACCCCATTGTTAGCAGGTACTGTACATCTTTCAGTCTCACAGTTTTTAAATAATACTGTGTTTTCATGGATACAGTAAGGACCATACAATTCTATACTTCCATATCCCTCTTCGTAGTCTTTATGATATCACTGTTAGATTTTAGTTCTTCACAAATGTTAGTTATGTTTATTTTTTTATTTTTCAAATCAGCCTTGTTGTAGCCCCATGGTAGAGCACTTAACTGAGATGCACAAGATCCTGTGTTGATGCCCAGCACCATAATGCAACAAAAACGAACTTTGTTAATACACAGTTCACATAACATACAGTATTTTATTTGTACATTATTTATGACAATAATGTCATTATTTTTGTTTGAATTATCACTTTTTTTTTTTTTTTTTGTCTTTCTGAGATAGGGTCTCACTATGCAGTTCAGACTGTCCTTGAGCTCACTTTATACCCCAGGCTGGCCTCAAACTGGAGGGGATCCTCATGCCTCAGCTTCGCAAGTGCTGGGATTACAGGCATCGGCCACCATGCCCGGCACTGTCACCTATCTTTTAAAGAGATTTCAGTTTTAAGAAGAAAATGCATATATTTACTTATGCAATTACCATTTCTACTACTCTTCATTTTTTTCGGTTAGTATCAGGTTTCTGTTATCATCTTCCTTCGATCTGAAGGGCATACTTTAACATATCTTGTGTTTGGATCTATATGTAATGAATTCTTTCAGCTTTCTAGTGTTTGAAAACATCTTTATTCCTTTGTTTTGGAAAATTTTTTTTTTACCAGAGGTATTCTTGCAGTTGCTTTGACAGGTATTTTTGTTCATTTGTTTATTTTTTCTCTCTTGTTAAATGAAAGATGTTGCGGGGAAAAGATGTTGTCCATGTGTCTTCTTGTTTGCATTGTTCCTTGAAATCTGTCGTCTTTGCTTTTTTACCCTCTCTATTTAACACCTCCCTAACCCTTACTGCTTTTTAAATCTCTTACTCATCACTGGTATTGATCAGTTTTATTATGATGTTCCTTAATGTTTTCTTCCTCACATTTTTGGTGTTTGGAGTTCATTTAACTTCTTAGAGATAGGAGTTTATAGTTTTTATTATACATGGAACATTTCTGCCATATTTCCTTGTTTGTTTTCTGACCCTTTAAGCCACTTGAAATTTTGAAATTTTCTCATAGGTCGCTGATGGCTTTTTCTTTTTTCCTTCAAATTCTTTTTCCATTTATTTTGCTGTGCCCTCTAGTTCACTAATATTTTCTTCTTTAATATCTGAACTGTGTTTAACTCTACCCACTGTATGTTTTACCTTTCTGGGTGCTGGGTTTTTTTGTTACTATAAATCATCTTGAGGTGTATTGTGGGAGGCAGTTATGTGTAACAGTTACGGTGCTTTCGAATCTTGCTCTTAAAAGTTGTCAGGTGGGTGCAGAATAGTGCTTAGTCTACATGGCAGTGGTTCTTAACTAACAGCAGCAGTTTCGCCACTTAGGCACATTTGGTAATGTTCAATGACATGCTTTCTTTTTTTTTTAATTACGGTTCCTGTACAGTTGCTATGGGCAGCATCTCATATCAAAAAAACTTCCATTTCAGAATACTAGTAGGAAAAAAATAAAAATAAAACCAAGTGTGGTGAATCAGGTCTGTAATCCCAGGACTGCCAGGAGTTCAAGGCCATCCGGGGCTACATAGTGAGTTCAAGGCCCGCCTGAACTGTATTTTGAGATCCTGTCTCAAAAAAGAAAGGAAGGGAAGGAGGGAGGGAAGGACGAGAGAGGAAAGAACATCAATAAACCTTTGTTTGTAGCTAAATCTCCCTAGCATTGAGTCAGTACTTTCCATGTGCGCTACGTAATTCTCACAAAGACGGTTGTTATGCTCTTAAATAACAGAATCAAGCAGTACCCCCAAATATAAAAGGGATGTTCCAAAAATACAGTGAATGTTTAAATTAAAAAATTTATTGCAGTAAAAGACACATTGCCATTAATCCCCCAAAATACTCCCCTTTGCTACAAACACACTTACCCCGTTCTTCTTGCCATTTTCTGTGTTGTTTCTGGAAGTCCTCTTTTGTGAGTGTCTTTATGAGGTATGATCAGAATCAAGTGAATGCCCTTGCCAAGGGCCATCCAGTGGAAATGCAGGAGCGTAAAAAGATTCTTAAGTAGCCACAACAATGCAGCTAAAGATATTAGCAAAATACAACTTCCAGAACGCCTTCAGAGAGTGGCAAGATCAATGGGATAAGGGTGTTTGAAGTGAGGAGTGTTTTGAGAGGGATTCGTGGCAATATGTCTTTGCTGTAATAACTTTTAAAATTTAAACGTTCTTTTTTGTTTCTGTTACACCTGTATATGTGCCTCAGACACTGTTCCCTTCAGCTGGCTTACCTTTTGGGTTCTTTCCTTGAGCTAGTGGAATCCTAGAGGACCCTCTCCATCGTTCCAGATGTTTCTGTCAAACTTTTGTTTTTTCTACTACAGTATTCTGACCTGTGAAGTCAAACCTGACCTACCAGCCCTATTTCCTTAACTCTCCCCTACAGTACATTACAGAGCAGATTAGAGAGATCTTTAACAAAGAGCAGATTAAAAATATCCAAGTCAAACTCCCAGAGATGAAAATCATGTCATGGGGAGGGGACCCCTCTCCTGTTTATCTGGCTTCAGGCAGTTTTATTGCGATATACCCTGGTGTAGTTTTGTCTTTCTTGTGACTGTGGCTTGTTAAAGATTCTCTAATCTGCTCTTTAATGTGCTGTAGGGGATTATAATTAATGTTAAGTCATCTGAAGTTGACCAATTGGTCATTGCTGTTCTTTTAATTTTCTCTTTCGTTTTACATAATGTCTGTTGTTATGAAGTTTAATAACTGTTTCTTCTGCCAGGTCTAACCTTCTGTTAACCTCATCTGTTATTAT